GCACCGACACCCCGTGGATAATCTCGAGGACATCATCAACTGCAAGTAGTGGCTGACCACTCCTGCGTGAATGCTTCGCAGTCAGCCTCCACTGAATCAGTTGTTATATTTCATGGCTGCTCTTCAAGTTGATAACATCCCACCAACTTCCTCTTTTCAGTGATTGCCATGCGTTTCACCAACAGATCTTCGTCTATGCCTGTCTCTTCCGTCCCTCTCGCCAAATCCCAGACTCCCATTCGGGTGTAACTTCTCTCTTGCGTTCTCCGCTTCAAATCGGTATACATTCCCGTCCACGTTCACACTCTACGGACACTGTAAGGCCATCAATCAGTCGCCCCCTTTATTACACTCCTCCCCCCGCGGTCGCTCTTCAGACCGCGTCTCTATCCACCGACAGCATCATCATTACATCCTTCCAACGTGCACCGTTCTGCTGCCATGAGGACCTTGTTACCATGCCTCGCTGAATTGTGCGGGTTGCTCAGAACATCAATTCACGTCTGCCAAAGGCACTGCAAATTGCATGTGGTGATGATGTAGAAGATGAGATGTTCGGAGAGCGATAGAGTCCTAACTGGGATCCGCGCAGAGACAGCACGAGAATCAGTCCCACCCGTTCCAGGCGCACCTAGGGCGGTACGGATAAAGAGCATGAATGCGATATTAGATGAAGCACCCTGGGATGTGGATATTGACTCGAGTACAATGGACGAACGAGCTATGGTTACTCCTTCTAGCCCGCTTGCCATGCGTCGCCCGCGCTTGGAAATGCTCAGGGAGGAACAAGAACAGGAGGAACCTTTGAAAAAACGAAGGCGTGCTTCACCAGAGAACGCCAATACCCCACCTGGTCGTGTGCCTACTACGTCGGGCTCACGCCTCCTCGAGAGTCTTGACGTTTCAGCCTCTCCTCTGCTTGCGTCAGACAGCAGCGAGGTCGTTAGCTCCATGACCAGCACTCAAGGAATGTACAGCGTCGACGCAGTGCTCGTCTCTCCAGAAACAACTCCCACCCGCGCGAAGTTGTAATTCGCCTCCCCTTTGCATCTTCACCCACAGCACAACCTACCCGCCTGCTCCGTTCGCACTCCCAAAGGACAAGCCTTACAACGCCTATGCAGGTCTCGAAGCTCAAGCGAGCTCAATCCGATGCCAATGTCACTCTTACACGCCCCAAGTACCATTTTCGACGCGGGCGCGCTACACCCAAAGTTGTCGATCCTGCCGAATTCGTGCCAGATGCGGAGAAGATAATACAGGTGCTACCGATGATCCCCACAGGGTCTAGGCTCGCAGTCGATTTTCTCACTCCTAGGGCCCGTAGTGCGAGCGCATCAACTACGGCCTCGCAGAAGAAGAGTGAAATTGGGTCAAGGGTCGTGGAGGCGATGGGGGAGATGGTGGTATGAGTTGGAGCACGCCTGATGCATGGCGTTGTCCAGTTCCGGAAGTTGAGGAGTTTCGAGTCATGCGGTATATTCATTTGTACTAGGACTTATTGCGGAATGGATGCTATGTTACAACAAGTATTAAATACAACTTCGGACATAGTAGTCTGGTTAAGATGGTCGTTCCTCGTTTGACGAAGAAATCGACCTGATCTTGTGTATGTGATTCTGGTAACCTTGATACGCATTGCGGGCATCACGAAGCAATGACTTCAGGAGATCCTTCTCACCAACTTTAAACTCGGACAGATCGCTAGAGCTAAGATCGAACGACTTTTCTTCACCGTGTTTTTCTAGTTCTTCCACTACTTTGTCTCTCCATGTATTCCATACTCTTGTTTCGTTTGGAATGAAACATTGTAACACCTCTTTTGGCTTGAAGTCAGAATTCGGAGGCCTTCGGGTATTATCGCTGAGGACCAAACATGCAAAAACTGCCTGAGCAGCTCTGTTTTTTAGTGCAATTTTCAACATGGGTGGATGATGAAGCGCTTTCAACAGGATATCGGTTTGTATTTTCTCCGGCTCCAGTGACGACAGGAATGAGTTGTATGCCCACGAGGCTACAAGCGATACGATGAACATGATCTGACCGAACGTTGTTGCCTGAGGGATAAGAAGGAGCTGGAGAAGGAACTGTGCGAGGAGGAGAAGCGAACAGAGTCCGATTCGTCTGAACTCTGGGCCGCCAGGGATTTTCAGATCAAATTTCCCTTTGGTTATCGGATCGATGTCTTTCTCTGCACCTCTGAGGATGACTACATCGCTTCGCATGAGGAGTATGCCGTCTGCAGGCGGTACACCCGGAGCGGCTTCCTTAACGGAAGCAAATTCGACTTGAGCGGTGCCCATGACAAGGCAAGATACGCCACTTGAAATGATTCCTAACATGATGAGGGAAAATGCTAGCCAATCTCCTGAAGCAGCAGAAGTAATGCACGTCGCGAGACTGATGGTAATGGGAATAGCAGCCAAGAGAGCATGATGGATGCTCATCATAGGCGCCCGGTCCAAGTGCTTCACATCTGCGTCTCCGACATCGACGATGGTGACGGACAGAGGTGTAGTCTCCCTCCCTTCCACTTCCGCTTCTGGCTCAACTTCTTTCGACCTCTGTACCATGAGGTACGCCAGGTGACCAGTGATCATCTCTGTACCCGAGAAAACACCCCAATAACGAGGGCCAGGTTTTCCATCTAGCCCAAATACCTCAGCGGGTGTGAGATTTGGGCCAGGGAAAAGACCATCCCAGAATCTTGAGCTTGAGAGCTGCCCGAACTTTTTGGCGACGGTATAGCTTCCTGGTGAATTATACCAGCCTAGCCAGCGCCTCCCACGATAGAGATGCACAGTGGCCATCGCAGCGATAACTTCATCGCCACCGAGGAATCCAGCAACGTTAGATGTATTGAGATTGAAATGCGCCTGGTTAATTGGTACAATAAAGGTGGGTAGAATTGTGGCATTCATGGTGCTGCTGTGAAGCTATCTCCGCGAGCCGAACATTTGGCATTTACATAGCCTCTAGGCGCTAACTTCTTGGGAAATAATTTTACCCCATTGGAGATGTGTTGGACAACGACAACGACTCGGAGATACGCACTGCATTCTACATGCAATGATCCTCAACACAAGTCGCATGTACGAATTGGTAGGAATCATATGTCTCAAGCATCTTTTGTCCTATCGTCAGTCCTTCATTATCATCCTCTTTCGTATATTCTCATCTTTCACTTGTAACAGCACCTGGAGGCGTTCAAGTTTACTTTTGATATTTTGCATTGACTACTGCCCTTTGCTTATGCAAATCAAACACACTGTAGCACACACATTCTCCCTGGTAACGTTTGAAACAGGCGCTGGCTACCTCGGGCTGCTGTTGGTGCCATCATTGGCAAATTCTCGGGATGCCTGTCACTTTGTCAGCCACTGAGGCGAGGTCGCAGAGACCATATTTGCTGTTGAAAGTTCATGTGTACATGATGTACTGTAAGTACCTTCATCGTCGTACGCCCTCAAACCTCCCAACACATTAGAAGGAAGTTAAATGTCCGTCATCAGCTCGGTTTAAGGGAGGCTACCATCGGCACGACAACGTCCAGCCCACGCCTTCTCTATCGCTTCCGAACCCATCATAGCCTTGCACTTAAATCCTTCAGGTTAGCACTCGATCACCATCTATACACGCAGCGCTATACGCTACAAGATAGCCAACAATCAAGCTTAAGCTTGATCTCGGATAGAAAGGATCGCCCGGAAATTGGTACTGGTTGACAGACCCGTTATCAACAAGAATCATCATGAGAAGCGCCAGCTCATGACAGGTGTGCGCAGGGCCGCCTTCCCGCAATCGCCGTTCTCTGCATGGATATAGTGCTGCTCGTTCACTTGCAAAAAATATAGGGGATTAGTCTCTTGCGTGTGCAAATTCTCTCATGATATATACTTCGTCGGGTCCAAGTGCCCGGAGGACTGTAAAAGCCTGTTCCCAATGTAGACAAGGCCAGCCCCGGGTGCCACCAGGTTGTTCCGTATGCTTGTATATATCTGGCTACTAGGCCTTGCTTCTCTGACTCTCACTCAGGCAGCCAGGCTCCCGCCACCTCAGTTACCAGTAGGTCTGACTAATTTACCCGACAGGTTCGCTTCTTTTAACTGTCTCGTTGATACCAGTTCCATGGTTTTTCGCGCCACACTGTTGCCGGTCAAGCTGTGTTTTTTCTGCATCGTGTTCCTTCAGTCAGTGAGTGTGGCAATACAGATTCCATCATTTCCGCTAAACAATAAGACACGTTCTAGCATCGGCAGGGTAGAATTTACAGACTAGACAGTGGTTTCCATGCCGATCGGAAAATTATGATCAATCGCCGAAGCTCAGTCTTCCATAATTCTATTACACTCGCGAGTGTATTTGATTCTTTCATTGACTATTACTCTTCTCAACGCGAATTAATGACCCAAATGATGCGGTCATGACTTTCCGAGTGCGACGATTCTCTCGAGACACCATACGGCCACATGTACTGACGTTTTAGGGTGCATGTATCCAACGGAGAAGTCGAAACATAAACGCATAAAGGGAGGCGACTTTTAAAAAGCAAATTGCACATCGGGCCTCAACTTTCAGCTCATTCATTCCTCAGCTACACTACCACACTTCATCCACCTCACAAGCAAAGCGCCTTGCATCATGAAATTCTCATCTGTCCTGTTCTCCATCTCCGTCTTTGTCCTTTCCGCCTTAGCACAAACGACAGAAACCCTTTCATATGACAGCACGTACGATAACGGCTCCCTCTCCCTTTCCAGCGTCGCTTGTTCAGATGGTGCCAACGGGCTTCAGACAAAGGGATACACGACCCTTGATTCACTTCCCACATTCCCTAATGTCGGCGGTGTCTACACCGTGACGGGGTGGAATTCCGCTGCGTGCGGGGCCTGCTATAACGTCACATACGGGGGTAAATCTGTTACTATCCTCGCGGTTGACGTATCCAAAACCGGCTTCACTGTTTCAGAGGCAGGCCATGAACACCTTGACTGGTGGCCTGGCCGTTGAGCTGGGAAGAGTGGATACTATGGCAACCCAAGTGGATGCGTCATTATGTGGATTGTAGTTGCATTGCATCGGTATGTATGCTGTTGCGGGTCCGCTATGTCTCCAATGAAGTTGAACATTTACCTTTTCAGGAAGTTTCTTCTGCGTCTGGACTCTGAGATCTGAGTGTCAGATAGACAATAATGCTCAAGCTGAGACTTGGGACTTACGGTTTCAATGGACTTGAATCGCATATCAAAATTTGTTGGATAAACGGACAACAGGTTCTTTGTGGAGTGGCTTTCATATGTAGACTACGGTTATTTGGACTTATCGACTTCGTACTTACCTGCATCGTCCATGTATAGTTTACATAGTGTCATGGACTTGACAGCGTTGCAGACCAATTGTAGATATCGCAGCATATTCCAGACAGCATTTTGCGCAAAACTTGAAGGAGGATGTGATGCGGACCTGACTTAAGCGGTACCCCGACATGCGAGGTAATATCAATGGCATGATGTTCCTGAACGTTAGCGAGAGCTTGCCTATAGTAGGCTATTGTACATGAAATGATACAACTGCAGGCTTTAGCGTATGGAAGTCATAAACACTACACCAACTAGCAAGATTTAATCAAAGCGCATCCCACCATCGATCGTGATCTACACAGTTGTCAGTCTTCGTGCACAGGCTCTCAAAGTAGCACTTACACTTTGCCCTGTTGATTATTTCACATCAGCAAGACAGACCGCAAAGAAGGTTCTATAATGCTTACCTGTGATAAAATGAGATTCTGCGGAGGCAATGTAAGAGACCAGTCCTGCAATGTCGTCTGGAGTCCCCAAATACCCGACACACGTATTCTTCTTAGACTACCAAGAAAGAAGCAAACTTGAGCGAAATCATGAGAACAGCCCTGTTGTCTTGTCTTACCTTTTCGTTATAGCAACTAGGGTCAGATGACCCCGTCAGCTTCATGCTTGCCTCATTTAGTTCGTCGACTTTGAAGCTCAGCTTGCATCACGAGATATCTTGTTTATGGCTTCACTCACTCATAGCCGTCATGATTGGTCCTGGAGCATAGGCATTCACGGTGATACCGTGGCATCCGAGTTCAATAGCTGACATATGATCACTTGTCAAAATTGTCGGAACGCAATGTAGATAGACATCATACCAGCAGACTGTGTAATCCCTCGGACTGCAAACTTGGAAGCAGAATACGCGCTAAGATTTTGTTCACCTGTGCGAAAGAATGTATTAGCGTTAGAACCTACGTATGGACATACACACCTCGTTTCCCTACTAGGGAGCTGGCGCCGATGATGCGTCGACCTCGTTTGTGGGTCTCATTCAAGGCAATCATCTTTCGAGCGGCGTATTTGTAGCTTAAAAACACGCCCGTAACATTGACAGCAAAGATCTTTTCCCAGTCTGCCAATGTAGCTAGTCAAGCAAAATCAGTACAACGTTGCAGATATGATTCACAGAGCCAAATTTCTTACTTTCTACCAATGGTGCGACGGCAATGATACCGGCATTTGCGACCATCTTAAAGTGGCATCAATGGTGAGAATAATTCGATGCTCTGGTATCTATACTCACGACATCCAGACCACCAAGCTCGGTCACAACGCCGTCCATCATCTTACGAACGTCGTCTTCGACTGTGACATCTGCAAGAAGTACGCAGGCCCTTCGTCCTGCATAAGTCCCCGTTATCTCCCGTGCGACTTCCTCGAGGTTCGACTTGTTGGTAGGAATATCACTGAGTCCAATGTCGAAGCCATCAGCAGCCAGCTTAAGAGAAATGGAACGGCCAATGCCTTGACCAGCACCAGTGATGAGAGCAACCCCTTTAGACATGGTAGCCAGAGATGTAAGTCAATGCTGGGAATCATGTCTGCAACCTGAGGTTATAACTGCAAGACCAAGCGTCCATCAGGTCATGGGTTTCAGTCCTCGAACATGTCAAAAATAGTACTCGGTAGCAAAGGTCCGAGATACGGCCCTATGACAGGGTATGACTAGCTTTGCAATCGATGCTATGAGTGATTTTCTTGAACGAACAAAATATAAGAAGCGGTATATGAATCAGACAGTGCTGTCCAAATATGAATAAAATAATCTCGAGGGCATATTTTATTCTAACCATATTATATTCTCAATCCGCCCCGAGATATTTAATGATAGTGTTATTTTATTCATATCGTATTCATAGGTATTCGTATCTATTCATATTTAATGGATAGAAACACCATCGAGGTACTGAATTCCATCACCAAGGCCAAGCTTCAACAATTCCTTGGTAATGACAGCGGCAGAAGCAGTCTCTGCAGTCATCGAGGAGCATGAATCAGAAAGGGTGTGTTTGCTACTGGAAAACAAGTGTTCAACGGCAACGCTGACAGCGGGTATAGCGAGGACATCACGAGCAATGCGCGACAGGATAGGAAATGTCGTCTCATGTTGCTGCGAAGACTACAGTGAGACATTTTCAGTAGAAATTATACGAGAAGTGTACTCACCTTCCACCACTGAAGGGGATTGGTCATTTGTTCAGGTGGACAAGGGTAGAGACCACTTAGATAGACGTCTACCTCGTTTTGAACTGTAGAGGAACCACTGCGAGACATAGTCAAAGCTGCAATGAGGGCAGATTTTGATGGCGAGGCTGGGACTGATGTGGGAATGGTAGCGGATGTTTTTCTAATGGTGCCGTCGTTGGTCGTATAAGTCTTGTAAAGGTGTTCAAGCAAAATGTGAGCACGACTAGTGCTGCCGTGGTCCGGTTCGGTCCGGTTCAGAGGGTCCTGGATGAGAACCGAGAACCGAACCATGGTCCGGTTCTGCAAAATCGTCGAACCCAGAACCGGACCATCAAGAACCGTTCTCAACGGTCCGGTTCGGTTTTTTTGTGGTCCGAACGCGAACCGAACCGAAATTTTTTCAAGCGCAACAAAAATTGACATTGTAGATCTACTGACATCGAGTAACTAGTCTAACATAGCACTGCATGCTCCTCTGCTTCTACTGCTGCTGTCAGAAATGGGAGCCCTAAAGAGCGCTGGATGTGAATGGAGAGTTTGGAAGGTGTGGAGGTTGTCGAGGAATTCAGTTAGTGCTAGCTGCATTTTGAGAGGTCAGAAGCATAGTTGCGCGAATGGACAAGAGATAGATATTCACGGGGAGAGTGCTGTTTGTAGGGATATCCATAACAGACCGTAGCTGTGTCAGCGTTGTCTGCACATCCCTGCCCAGACCAGGGCCAAGATTTGTGACAGCAGCAGAAGGTCCGCAAGCACAGCGACAGTCACTGAGTCAGTGCAAGATTACAACCTGACAAACAATGCAAACTGACGAGGGCCTACCGCCGCAGAAAAGCACACGCGACGCAAGGCCATCGCGCACGAGAGTTGCCTCACAACCAGCGGGCGCGCCTCTTCGATCTGAAAGGCTTTACAAATATGCGATTCCGAGCAACTCGTGAGCAGAATGTGGGTCACGGGCAGGTCAGGCTCATGAAGAGCCTATGCAAGGGAAAATATGGACAACGATATCCAAGGAGATCCGTTAGAGTTGACGAGGATGGCGGCGAGCAGCAGCGGGAGATGGCAGCGAGCAGCAGAGTGAGATGGCAGCGAGCAGCAGAGTGAGATGGCGGTGAGCAGCAGCGTGAGATTGAGCACCAATCCCTGAGTCAGAGAGGTAGCGAGAGGATGCTGAAGGTAGCGAGAGGGCGCTGAACTTGATGAAATTGACTTGGGAGGGGGGAATAAAGTCATTAATGCTAGTTGAAAGGAATGAGTTACAGGCAAGGAAATATGGATGAGGATGCTACCGTTTGGCAATGTAGTTGGGGACATAGTTGCTGACAGCGACAGGGTCCCCAGTGGTGTTGTCAACACGTGGCGTGGATCCAGGGAAAGTAGCGCAAGGGAAAGGAAGTGCACGAGGAGAGATGGATCTGAGTGCGTGGGTGATCAATATCTGTGACATATTTGAACAAATGTCAGTGTGTGAGAGAATCAAAATTTTGATTAGTTAATACGTACCTTCAAAAAGGCTAAAGGCAGAAGAGTAGAGTGCAAATCCCGAAGTTCGGTCGACGTCGAAGTAAGTGGCGTCGAAGTCAGAGTTGAGAAGGGTTCAGAATGGTTCAGCAAGGCTGAACCAAAATAGAACGGTTCGGCAGGACCTAGAACCGAGAACCGATTTCCGGTTCGGTTCGGGCTGACACCAGAACCGTGGACTGAACCGTCCAGAACCGGACCAAAAGTCCGGTTCGAACCGTGGTTCTGAACCGGACCACGGCAGCACTAAGCACGACGGCCGAGATTCCTAGTGGGCCATAAGTTCTGGTCGTTGAAGTATGCAACTCGTATGCACGGATGCAAAACTAGTGTACATAGTAGTCAATGGCAGGCCTGTGATTGCATTTTGAAGGTCGGCGAGAAGCTGATCAGTGCTGCGGCCGCCAGATATGGCCATGTTTTTGATTTGAAGTGCGAAAGTCGCAGTGTTTCCGATTCTGCTGAATTTTGGCGTGTGGGAAATTTGTAGATAAACTGTACAGTTCACGTTGTCTGCGGTCAATTTGTCTCTCTTCGTTCGTGTTCCCGGGCCACCAATCTTCAACTGTAGGTATTCAGAATATGGATACATACAGTGACCGTAATGTATTGTATTCATAATGTATTGTAACATATTCACCCATAATCTTCATGACTAGGAATACAGGACCTATGTATTATATTCAGGGTATTCGAATATAATCCAAATAATATTCAATCATATTCAGTATTGTGGACAGCACTGGGTATGATCTACTATCAATTGATAATATTAGTGAGACCGAGGAATTGGATTATCATGATTGACCTTTCTGAGATCTGTATTTCAAAAGATGAATTTCTCATCCATTGATCATATACATCCACAATAACTACAACTCACTGAATCCTGCCGTGCAAGTGCAAGTCCTACGTTCGCTGAGACGGCATCGAAGTTGGCGCTGATGAAGTTCAAATTTCCATCAGCTCTGATAAATTATCTACAGGAATGTCACCTACCGCTCCTCTGCATGATAGACGACATCCTATTAGCATTCTCATTGCAGGGTTTTCGTTCATCAATGGATGGTCATGTCACGATTAGCCAGGGCTGATACATGATGGTGTGTACTACTATGAGCCCAGCTGAGCGCCGCTGAATTCATAATTAACTGCATTTCCTGCCAGTGTTTTAATAGTACTCGGATTTGCGTTTTTATATGCATCATTTTCGAACAACATCCAGACTCTCACCAAGTTGCCAATGGTGCGTAGATCCCTGGATCTCGTGTGCCAATTGACTCGCGAGTCGCATACATTCAAAAGACTGTACAGTGCTTACTAGTATTCATTAGGTTTGTGGCGCTGCCAATCCAAAAGCGGCCCTATAATTAGATTAGTAGGCCCAGTACCCACGTACGAACGCCCGCAATTTTGCTCTCAACTCTCAACGCTCAACGCTCAATCACTACCCACCACCTACAACGAGTCATAATCACTACTAGCTTGTTTCTCATGAATCGTGAAGCTCAGCTTGAGAAACGTTTTAACGACATTCTCAAAGGCAGAGTTCCTGCAAATGCACAAAACTACGCTCACTTTTTGGAAGCGATTTGTGCACAGCAAGACCCTGCAGCCTGCATCCACAAAATCGTGGAGAGCTCCCAAGGCTCAACCGCAGTTCAGGCTGCCATGCGTCACAATACTAACTCCCAGTTCCTCAATGGTCCTGCAACCAAGCTTCTGCTATATCTCTTCCGAGCAACAGACCTCGGTGACGTCTTGGATCACTTACTCATCACCATAGTTGATCCTCCCATTTTTTGGACTGCCTTTACCCAAGCATTTGATCAAGGTGATCTCAATGAGCCAGCTCAGGAAGCATTCGCGGCACTCCTCCTTCGCCTCATGTGCCTCACTACGGGGAATACCTCGTGTTATCGTGACATTGCAAAGAAGTCTAGTATTCTTACGAGGCTTCTCGACTCATCACAATGGAAAGTCAAAGACATCGGCTACCGTATCCAACATATCCTTTCCACATTCAATTCTGGTACACCTGTCACTGCAGTCGGGGGACCTGGTGGTCGCCATGATAATGATTTTAACGACTTCAGGGAGATCTCCATTCTTCCAACTGCAGACGAGATTCTCTGCCAGCAGCCTCCTTTCATTCGCCCGAGCAGCGTATTGGAGGATCCTGATGGCGAGGCAACTCGTACAGCTGACTACCTGGATAATACCTTCCGCTTGCTGCGCGAAGACATGTTATATGAAATAAGAGAAGAGCTCCAGACCGCTATAGGGCAGAAGAAAGGGCGTCACCGTGGGGTCACCATCGACGGCGTCACACTCATCGGCGTTTACAGCGGTGCGGATGATAGAAAAACTCGGTGGGGCATCAAACTCAAATGCCAAGATGATTTCAAGTCGATGAAGAATGTCCCTGACAAGCAGCGCAAGACATATCTCGAAAAAGATCCAGCGGGCGTTAGAATTCTCAAAC